CAAGTCGAAAGCCGAATTAAGAACCCCCCACATGAGCTAGTTTTAAGTGAGTATAAAATTACTCTTGCAAATAAACGATCTAATAAGTGTTTAATTTTTTTGTTGTAAATTCTCAAGAACAACAAAAAATTGTATAAATTCACTTTCATCATTAGGTTTTATTCTAATCTCAATTTTAAATCAATAAACATTGCCGAAGAGTGAAGGTAATTAAAAAAGCGGTGTCATGGGAAAAAACGTCCTTTTGCTACACTGTCTTATTGTGGGTATGTTTTCCTTGACGTTGGTTCACATATTTTGAGAATTTAGTAAATGTTTATCAATTTATGAAAAAAACATTGTTTTCACATTTATTTCTTTATAAACTGGTAAATGATAAATATTGCATTGTATTAGTTTTACTTTTAATTGTATTAATTTTTAAGAAGAAGGTTGTAAATATAAGATTATTCTTGTAAATAAACAATCCAGTAAATAGCGGTTAACATTTTTGAAAATAGGTAATGGCGTGAGATCGCTGGGAAATGAGCATAGCAGGATAATAACGGCCTTAAACTTGACGAATGCAAAATTTTATCGTCAAAATGTTTATGTTACTATTAAGGGGAAAGAACAAAGTAATTTTTAATTATTTTAAAAAAATTTTCTGTCTTTATTAGATCATTCTAACCTGTGATTGAAAAACCTTGTTTCTCTTCATCAATGGAACTACTAGTAAATAACATAGCAAATTTTTTGTCCATTTTTTTATGACAGACATTAAGTTTGAAAATCTTGCAAAAATAAAAATAATTGTCGGATTTTAATGAAACTTTCAGAAACTATTCACAAATGATGGAAATTATTCTAGATATGTTTATTTTTTAAAGTCATGGCAATTTTTTTTATATTTATTACCAACTCCCATAACTAATTTTATGAAAACTCTTGAAATTCAAATGTTTTTGTTTTGTTGTAAATTTTCGCGAACAAAAAAAATATATAAATATATAAATTCACTGTGATCATAATTTTAAGTTTTATTGCACTTCAAATTATCGCTTTTTAAAACAATAAACATAGCCAAGAAATGCAGGTAGTTCAAATTTTAGCGATGTCAAGGGAAAAACCGTCTTTTTGACATACTGTTTTTTTTTTTTTTTGCGGGCACAAAAAGAGAAGTTTTTTTTTCAAGCTTCATGTAAACTTTCAGAGACGTCATTTTCTTAGGTGGGTAGCCTCTTCGGTTAACAGCAGGAATCCAACATGGCACTTGTGAGAGAATTTATGCTAATGACGTGTGTAAACCTAAACGCGAATTTAGCCAGAAGCGAAATCCTCTAGTTGTTGGAAGGAATCGGTTTACAAAAATAAATAAATAAATAACTAAAGCCTAGCACTTCGAGAAACTAATTAACAAAATCAGATTTCATTATAAAAGAAAAAAAAAAACACGACCCCTGAACGATTTTGACGCCTATTTCCAACACGTCATCAAAGTAGAAGTGTCCTAGAGAGGTACGATTGTGTCTATAAATACGCTCGCAAGTTGTCTGGGTCGAAAAAATTTAAAGAAATATATATATAAATGGCTTCCGGGACCATAATTAGTATAAGAGGGCGGAAAATTCGTTCCATTTCGTCAAATGCAATTTTAATTCAAATCAAAACTTGTAATTAAAACAGAAGGATTCTTAAAATAAATTATGTAGGTTTTCCTCGTCTCTCCGAAAATAGAGCTTGTTACGAAATCGCGTTTAAAAACGAAATGGGATATAAAGAATAAGCATTTATCGTATTTTTCTGTATATAAGCCGCACTTTCTTAACCTAAAGAAAGCTCCGATGTTAAAATTTGCTTGCGTCTTATACACCAAAATTGCACAACGCCACGTTGCGTCTTGTTCTTACCTCATTTACCATATTTTTCTGTATATAAACCGCACTTCCTTAACAAAAAAAAAAATATATCCGATGTCAAAATTTGCTTGCGTCCTATACACATCCACATTACGTCATTTCTTAATTGTTTTACCCCAAACAAGGCAATACAGCCACTAAGACGCAAAAAGTTACTGAGTGTTAGAGAATATAAGAAAAGAAAAAGGCGACTTTTTAACCATTGATCTTATAAATGGGCTGTGTACAGTTAAGGTATTGCTAAACAAGTTTGGCGCCATGCATGATAGCTATATGGAATTCTCTAAGAATTAAACACATTACCGTATATGTCAGCGTATAAGACGACCTTTTAATCTTACCCCAGGCTAAACAATAGGGGTCCGTCTTATACTTCAGGTATAAAATGCGAACCTTAAATCCTGTGGTTTATCGTAAATTGTTAGCATGGAAGATTTTTGACGGTCGAAACGTTGTAATAAATATGGCGACAAAGATGAGGACAATAGTCCGATTAATTTAAATAGTGTACATAATACCTCATCTCAGAAATATAGACAAATACTGAAGAAGGCCGGAGCGTACAATGTCCGAAACATTGTGATAAATATAGCAACAAAGATGAGGACAATAGTCCGAATAATGTAAATAATGTACATAATACCTCATCTCAGAAATATAGACAGATACTGAAAGGCCGAAACGTTGTAATAAATATGGCGACAAAGATGAGGACAACAGTCCAAATAATGTAAATAGTGTACATAATACCTCATCTCAGAAATATAGACAGACTCTAAATAAAATTGGCTAGATTATATAGCCAAAAAATATATTTAACATTTTTTTTTTTTTATAAATTATACAAATTATACGACTGGTACTTTTTTAAAAATCAAAATGATAACCTTACCTTTTATATGACCTTCTCATTAACCATGAAGAAACACTTACAGGATTTGCACAAATTATACGACTGGTACTTTTAAAAAAAAGAATAGATGCGAGGTAAGGTGTAATTACAGAGGACATTTTTTTTTAGAAAAGAAGAATTTTAGAACATTTCATCAGGCATTTATTGAAAAATTCTTTTAGTTGTTTTTCAGGGATCAACATCTTCACATACAGTAAATTCATAATAACTAGAAAGAAATCTACTGGTATCAATGAACATCAAAGAGAAATATGGTACTTGTTGGTAAATAAAGTCCCATAGAATACCTGCAGAAAAGCAAATTCCAATACCTGTATTTCAACAAAAACACACACACAAATCAAGCGGCAATATAAAAGTCAAAGCAAATATTTCTGTAAAATTTGGTATTTCTACAAAACAAGCAGTAAATTATTCTTAACAATTCTTACAATCTAAAAATACTTTCTTGAACTGATGACATCGGGAAGGTCGTTGATGCTTACCTTCAAGGATAGAGCCGTGGGGAGAAACCCGTATTAATATGAACAGATCTAGAAGAGTGACCATTCAAGATGATATTCATTAGACGATTTGTAGAGAAAAATTGAATCAAATCAAAATTTCGACCGCCGACACTATAGCGCTTTAGCTTGTGAATAAGACCAGCAATGCTCGGCCCTATCAAACGCCTTCGAGATGTGTAAATCCACAGGTCGAGCTTCGGCGTTCTTATCTAAGGCTTGAAAAAAACTTTCAGTAATAATAGTTAATACATTGGAGCAGACACGGTGGAGTAATGGATAGCGGTTCGGATTGAGGAATCAGAAAGCCGAGTTCGAATTCCAGTCGAATCCATCACATTCACTTACGTGCTAATACCTTAGGAAAGGCGTGAATCCTCTTCTTCTCCCCCAGCTATGGGTAAAATAGCAGGACAGACCTGGTTCTATAGCGTTGGATGATAACTGGTCTACCGCAGAAAGAAATGGCAACCATACTACGGGAAAAAATCTGCCTCGTCAGTTATGTATCGAAAGATACATGATCGCCTAAGCGTGTATCATGCATGGCACATAACTGACTGAATGAATGGCGGCTCGGATTGAGGAATCGGAGAGCCGAGTTCGAATTCCAGTCGAATCCATTACATTCACTTACGTGATAATACCCTTGGGAAAGGTATGAATCCTCATCTTCTCTCCTCAGCTATAAGTAAATAGCAGAACAATCCGGGTTCTATAGCCTTGGTCTACTGCAGAAAGAAATGGTAACCTACTGCCTCGTCAGTCATGTATCAAACGATACATGATCGCCTAAGCGTGTATCACGCATAGCACATAACTGATTGAGTAAAAAAAAAATTCTTAAAAACATAATTAGGAAGAAGGACTTGGTAAAATTGACATTCACAGGGCATTTCGAAAGTGTGTAACTTTTGAATCTATGTAAATATCGCTAAAAGATACGACTAGAAAAATATTATATATATAGTCGAGTGAAGCTCATTAGTTTTATTAGCCAAGGAGCCCCGAAAAGTCTGAATCCGGACCTGTTTACAACCAGGGCCGTTACGTATTATTCCCGGACCTCCGACCGAGTGTTAAGTCTGACTGGGGGTCCCGGGCAGTGCTTAGTGACTATTAGATAAATGTAGTTCTAAAACATGGGGCACGATGGAGTAATGGATAGTGGCTCGGATTAAAGAATCGGAGAGCCGAGTTCGAATACGTGCTAATACCTTTGGGAAAGGTATGAATCCTCTTCTTCTTCCCCCAACTATGGGTAAATAGCAGTATAGACCGGGTTTTATAGCCTTGGGTGGCAACTACCGCCGAAAGAAATGGCAACCTACTGCCTCGTCAGTCATGTATCGAAAGATACACGATTGCCTAAGCGTGTATCACGTATGGCACACAACTGACTGATCAAGACCAAACGCACAGGAAAACTGAGGAAAGGGGGTCTTGTTTCGTCGGGACAATGCTCCAGCGTACAAGCCCTTGGTTACAGTGGTTGCTGTGCGTGAATGTGTATTTGAGCTGGTTAATCACCCTCCCTATTCTTTTGATTTGACCCTATCTGACCTGTTCCTCAACATGAAAAACACAAGCGTAGGATGATGACGTCATATCTGCTATTGATGAATGACCTCATATGATGATGGCGTCATATCTACTATTGATTAATTTTTGACCGACTAAAATGACATGAAATATTCTTCACGACTGATACCCAAGCACTACAAATACAACAATTGCTCCAAGAACTACAAGTCAGAATTGGTTAAGCATCTCATACGGTCTTTCTGACAAACAATATGGTTTCGCTTCTCTTTCGCTTCCCGCAGTAGGTTGTCATTTCTTTCTGCGGTAGACCAGTAGTCCAAGGTTTTAAGGCCTGCTATTTACCCATAGCTGGAGGAGAAGGGAAGAAAAGGATTCATACCTTTCCCAAGGGTATTAGTGCGTAAGTGAATGTAATGGAGTCGAATGGAATTCGAACTCGGCTCTCCGATTCCTCAATGCGAGCCGCTATCCATTACACCACCCACCGTGCCTCCTTGGTCTTGGCCCTTTTGAAGATAGTTATTAAGCACAATGCATTTTACATCCTAAAAGACTGAGGCAATCACCTCAGAAATGACCTTGGCTATCTTTATAGCAGGCGACTATCTCTTTGTCGCTAGCTCAAAACGATAAACCCAGCACTTATCCTGAGATAGGAAAAATTAATGGAAACTAGCTGGCTCTGCCTCAAACAATGACAGATGTTCCCGTGATATGATCAACCTGGTGCGCCTCTGTACTGGTGTCAGAAGACGTGGCACCCACCGAGGATAAACCTTCGTCATGCCAAGATCATTGTGCCGAATATTCTCAGCTCTCTTGCGGGATATATGCTAATAATGTTGGCTATTTGATTTATCATCTGTCATCGCTTGTCATCGATCCCAATGTAGTGAACACGATCAATACTTGATGGTAGGAGCTGCAGGATGCCCAGACATTGGGTCATATTCAAGACTCTCCTTTCCCCTCCTAAATTTAGCTGCCCACTTTTGCACTGTTGATAAAACTGGAGTGTCATCCCCTAATATAGTAACCATGTCAGCATGAATGTCCTTAGGGAAAAAAAAACTCTTTTTGAAGTCATCTTTGAACAGTCAGATGCCAGCTTACCTGGAAATAAACAATGCCGTTATTGATAAGAAGAATTGAAATTAATGTATATAAGGTTTCCCAGCTCGAGCGTCACTCCTTTATGGTAAGCCTATGAACTTTTCAGCTCAGCCTCGCAAATAAGAGGATAACACCGGATAGCCCTAGACATGGTCAGTGGAACGCGAAAAATATATCCAGGTAGATTAAAGAGAGAGCTCAGTTTCAAATTCCCTGACGGTTACCCGGTTCGACACGCACCTGATGAAGACCCAAGTACACAATAGTCGAAGCGTTATGAAAATAATAACAAAAGGAAAATAGTCAGAATGTAAATAATGTTAACTCTTCATACCAGGAATTTATTCTCTGGAATTCTATCTTTCGTTCACCAAATTTTTGGGGGTTACCGTTTTTCATTCACTTTCTTTCTTTCTTTCTTTCTTTCTTTCTTTCTTTCTTTCTTTCTTTCTTTCTTTTCTATTACTCTTAGTTTTTCTTGCTTTCTTTTTCTTTCTTTCTTTCTTTACTATTACTCTTAGTTTTTCTTTCTTTCTTTTTCTTTCTTTCTTTCTTTCTTTCTTTTCTATTACTCTTAGTTTTTCTTGCTTTCTTTTTCTTTCTTTCTTTCTTTCTTTTCTATTACTCTTAGTTTTTCTTGCTTTCTTTTTCTTTCTTTCTTTCTTTCTTTCTTTTTTTCTTTCTTTTCTATTACTCTTAGTTTTTCTTGCTTTCTTTTTCTTTCTTTCTTTCTTTCTTTCTTTCTTTCTTTCTTTCTTTCTTTTCTATTAGTTTTTCTTTTTTTCTTTCTTTCTTTCTTTCTTTCTTTCTTTCTTTCTTTCTTTCTTTCTTTCTTTCTTTCTAATAATTTCATACAGGCTGCAAGGTCGCCGATAGGGAGAGTGGAGGTTTGAGGAATGTGGAACCACCTCTTAACTTCTCTTGTTTCCAGGTAGACCCTTCCTTCCCCTCTCCTTTCTTTCTTTCTTTCTTTCTTTCTTTCTTTCTTTCTTTCTTTCTTTCTTTCTTTCTTTGTATTTGTAAATTCTTTCTTTATTCTTCTTTGCCTTTCCTTTATAGTTTCTTTCATTCTTTATCTGTTATTCTTATTTTCAACCTCTTTCTTTCTTTTTTCTTTTTTTCTTTCTTTGGATTTATCTACTTTATTGAAACCTCCGGTTATTCATTCATTCATTCTTTCTTTCTTTCTTTTCTGACTGTTACTCTTTGTTTTTCTACCTCTTTCTTTTTCTTTCTCTTTTTTTTCTTCCTTTTATGCCATTTACTGTTTGTGGTATTTCTTTTTGTTTTTTTGTTTTTTTGTTTCTTTGTTTCTTTCCTTTTTCTTACTTTTATCTTTCAGATATCCCCCCCTACTTCCTTCCTTCCCTCCTTTCTTTCTTTCTTTCTTTCTTTCTTTCTTTCAATTCCGCACACGTCTTTCTTTCTTTCTTTCTTTCTTTCTTTGTATTTTGTCAATGTTTCTTTATTTTTGACTTACATTTCCGTTATTCTTTCTTTCTTTCTTTCTTTTTTTTCTTTCTTTCGCTCATCCATTCTTCCTTTCTTTCTATCTTTTATGACCTCACCCGGTCTCTTAAATCGATGTTTAATAGCCACAGCCTAAGACGAAACCATATTCATTACCCGCTGAACGACATGAGGTCACCTCAAACGATCCTTTGCGCCGTAGGTGGTGGGGACTTTAAGGGCTTCAAACCTGAAAGAAAGAACGAGACAGCCTCGGTGATATCATCCTTAACCTCCTCCAACAGCTCATGAGCTCGTCGCAACGACATTGGCAGTGAATAAATATAAGGTTGGCCTCAAGTAATGCTACATTTTCTGTCTTTAGGCTTAAATATATTTAACCTATTCTACCAGATCACCATGTTATATGGTGACTTACAGATTAGGATCAATGGAAAACGTGTTGAATCGATTCGAACTACTGATAAAGAAGTTCGTTAGTCTTCTGTCATTTCGGTCCTCCTTGAGTGCTTTATTATTTGTCGCCTTGTGCCAGACTAGTGATAGCTGGTTAAATATAATTTCATGCGTTTCCGGTAGAGCGCCAATTAATTATCAATGTTCCTTGATCTTTGTCTGAGTTGAAGACGTTAGCATGTTTTTTTCTTTTTATACTTTTTCTCGTTCAAGTGTTTTCTTTCTTTCTTTTTTTTTGTTTATTTGTTTCTTTCTTTCATTCTTTCTTTCTTTCTTTCATTCCTTCTTCCTTTCTTTCTTTCTTTCTTTCATTGTTTGTTTGTTTGTTTGTTTCTTCTTCTTTTCTTTCATTCGTTCTTTCTTCTTTCTTTCTTTCTTTCTTTTTTTCTTTCTTTCTTTCTTTCTTTCTTTCTTTCTTTCTGTCTTCGTTTGTTTGTTTGTTTCTCTGTCTCTGTATTCTTCCTTTCTTTCATTCGTTCTTTCAATCTTTCTTTCTTTCTTTCATTTCTTTTTCTTTCTTTCTTTCTTTCTTTCTTTCTTTCTTTATTCGTTTGTTTGTTTGTTTGTTTCTTTCTTTCTGTCTTCGTTTGTTTGTTTCTCTCTCTCTGTATTCTTCCTTTCTTTCATTCGTTCTTTCAATCTTTCTTTCTTTCTTTCATTCTTTCTTTCATTTCTTTTTCTTTCTTTCTTTCTTTCTTTCTTTCTTTCTTTCTTCGTTTGTTTGTTTTTTGTTTCTCTCTTTTCTCTTCCTTTCTTTCATTCGTTCATTCATTCTTTCTTTCATTCTTTCTTTCATTTCTTTTTCTTTGTTTCTTTTTTCTTTGTTTCTTTCTTTCTTCGTTTGTTTGTTTGTTTGTTCGTTTGTTACTTTCTTTCTTTCTTTCTTTCTTTCTTTCTTTCTTCCTCCCTTCCTTCCTTTCTTTCTTTATTTCTCAAATTCCCTTTCTTTTTCATATCAATTTCTTATTTCCTGCCTTTTTTTTACAGATTACGTCCTCTTTTTTCTTTTCTTTTATTTTTTCATTCAGTATTTTTTCTTTCTATTTTTGTACCTCTTTTCCTTTTTAGTGTTTTCTTCATCTTTCTTCCTTTTTCGTCATCTTCTTTCCTTCATTCCTTCATTTTGTGTTTTTTCTTATCAACATTCTAGTATTTTCTTTCTTTTTCTTTCTTTCTTTCTTTCTTTCTTTATAATAATTCCATACACGCCTTTCTTGGGGGGGGGGATCAAATCGGATTCTTTCTTTCTTTCTTTCGTTTTAGTTTTTTCTTTCTTCTTTTTGTTTTCTTTCTTTTATTCGTTTTTCTTTCTTACGCACGTTGCTTTTTTCTATGTATTTCTGTTTCCTTTTTTCTTCCTTTATTCTTTTCAACTTTTTCTTCTTTTTTTCTTTCTAATATCACACTTTCTTTTTCGTCGCTTTCTTTTCTTCTTTTTCCTTTTAAAATTTGTTTTTCTTTCTTTCATGTGGGACCCACTTGTCATTGAAATAGAAAATTACAACCTAAACGAAATTTGCCATGTGAAAACGTTCAATGTTTTGGGCCGGAATCCAGTAGCTCTCTCTCTCTCTCTCTCTCTCTCTCTCTCTATATATATATATATATATATATATATATATATATATATATGAAATATATATGAAATAGGGAAAAAGCCTGGGCGTAGATTAATATTTGGATAATATTCAATGGCAGTACTCTCGAAGATTTTCCTTCTGAGTGAGATATTTTCTTAAAATAGTCACAAGCACTTCCAAAACCATTCTGGATATACTCAGATCCTCAAACACTAATAGCAATAATATTTCTGAAGCAGACATTTATAAAATAAATTGCCAAAACTGTTCCTCCCAATATATTGGAGAAACAAGTAGAAATTTAAAAAAAACGCATCTATGAGCACAAAAGAGACCTCACAAAAAACAACTTAGCTAATGCACTAGTCATACATAGAAATAAATTCAACCACAATTTTGATTTTAAAAATGCTACACTCATAAAAAAAGAAAATCACTCATTTAGAAGGAAAATCCTCGAGAGTGCCGCCATTGAATATTACCCATATATATATATATATATATATATATATATATATATAGTAAAGGTAAAAAAATCAGTTGGTGTATAATCCTAGTAAAATAAAATATTAAAACTGATCCATAAAAAGAGCTTAATGTATTTATTATTACAGAGTAAATAATTAGTGCACAATGAAATCTAAAATTACCATATATGGGGAATAGTCTATTTCGGCAGACGATGATATCGGTCGTCTGTCTTATCAACTCCAGTGTGAACTGAGTTCTTGTTTATACAGTTAGGAGGGCAAGAAGTAGAATTTAACTGTGAAAGCTAAAAAAAAAGAAAAAAAAAAGAAAAAAAAAAAAGCATAATCAAAGCCAACTATTGAATCAGAGGAATGAATTAGTGTTAAAATGACGACATAAAAACAAATTCAAATCTCCATAATATAGGTTTAACTTAATTAGCTACTATATTTCCATAATATTCACTCCCCTCTAACTCCTCAAATGTCGTATGTATAACCAATTCTAATTTCTATGATTCCCCTTCTATAACCTCTTTACACTATATTAATCATAATTTATAAACTCTCCCCTATTCTAAGACCGTCCTGGGTATGACGATAAACTACATCCGCGTCCTGGGTAAGACGATAAACTACGTCCAACAGCAAGGCCTCTGATCAGAAGGTTTTGAGGAGCGTGGAAACGTCCTCTTATTTGCTGGTTTTCCCAGGTCAACCTGACCCGGGGTGGTAGCATCTGTTAGGGTCCCAGCTATGGGCAAATAATTAACCCAGAAACTGAGGTAAAAGGCATTATAAAAGTGTAAAAGTAGGTTTTAATACCAGAAATACTTTGTAAGAAATTATTACCAGAAATAAATTTTAAAGAAAAAAAAAAATATTACCAGCAATATGTTTTTGAAAAAAAAAACTATTACCAGCAATACGTTTTTGAAAAAAATAATATTACCTGCTATACGTTTTTGAAAAAATTATATTACCAGCTATACATTTTTGAGGAAAAAATATTAATAGAAATAGATTTTTGACAAAACAAAAAAATATTACCAGAAAAAAATGTCATTAGAGGTTGATATGCTGTAAAACAAAACAAATTAAACCTAATCTAAGATCTCCCCAAATCTCTTTGCATTAATCCCTTACATCCTGTCATCTATATATTTTAAATTATATTTAAACCCCTTTTTATTCCTCTTTTAATTTTAAATTAATATTTCATTCTTCACATAACTCCAAATTTATGTCAAAAGGTTAATATTCGGGTTTAATTTTATAAAACCTCTTCCCTTTAAGACAAATACCTTCCACCTTCCCCCGAACTCTGTCTTGCACCTTTCGTCTGACTGAAACATTGAAATAATGGATAAATTCTGTATTAGTTTTTCTGCAGGTTGATTTTTTTTTTTTTAGCTTTCACAGTTAAATTTCTATTTCTGACTCAGTCCACAACGGGGTTGATAAGACAGACGACCGATATCTTCGTTTGTCGAAATAGACTATTCCCCATATGAGATAATTTTGGATTTTATTGTTAACTAGCAGTAGAGCCCGGCGTTGCCCGGGGATGTAACAGTAAGAGATAGATCAAGTATCGACCATCATAAAGACTGAAAAATAAAAATTGACAAAATTTTTTTTTCTTTTTTTACAAATTGGTCAAACCCAAACTCAAAGAAAAACATTGTTTTCAATCGTTATGGATCTACCGATTGAATAGAATTTTATTATGAACAATTGTATTGTAAATGGAATTTTTAAAGCATTCTGAATGTAAAAATAAAGAAAAAAGTGTGCAAGACAATAAGAAACACTACCTGCCAAAAAAAGTGAAGTTTTGTTCAAATCGGTTGAAAAATGTAGGAAATCCGATCCCATATATAAACGAACACACACACACACACACACACACACACACACACACACACACACAACGTGGGTTTTATAATAAGTATAACTCGATATGAGCGATGCCTCTTAATTGTGTTTTCAAATTGATTTTGTGCAAAAACAATTGTGTTTTTCCAATTTTTGACGCTGTCAGAACCACCGCAAGGTAATTTTACGCAGTCCTGTGAAGTTTTGTTGAAATCGGTTGAAAAATGTAGGAAATCCGATCCAATATATAAACGTACACACACACACACACAACCTGGGTTTTATAATAAGTATGATTATATATATATAGATAGATAGATAGATAGATAGATAGATAGATAGATAGATAGATAGATTTTTTTATCTTCGTTCACTCATTACAAGACTCGTGGGTTAGTGAGTGAGATTGGTTTAAAGTAGGGGGTAGGATTAAATAGTGCACATTATGATGACGGGAAAGATAAATATCGGTTGACCCTGCACATAAAAATATTAACATTGTAGCTTCCAGGAAAGCATCGTCTCGGGAGTTCGTTTCTCAGTGTAGGGAAGAATCTGTTTGAGTTGAAAATTCTTGTTATCAAAGGAATATAAAAGGAATGGCGTACCACCGTGAACACGGCAGGGTAGAGATTCCTAGCTGTGAGGGTGGTGGAAATAAAGGAATGTAAGTCGTTTATAGATTGATGGATGAGAATAGAATGATAAATACATAGAGAGATAGATAAGTATAAACGGAGACAGAAAGATAGATATGAACAGACTGAAATAGATAGATAGATAGATAGATAGATAGATAGATAGATAGATATAAACAGGCTGAAATAGACAAATAGATATGAACAGACTGAAATACATAGATAGATAGATAGATATGAATGGACTGAAAGAGATAGATAGATAGATAGATAGATAGATAGATAGATAGATAGATAGATATAAACATACTGAGATAATACAGATTGATAGATAGATTATAAGCAGACTGATATATATATATATATATATATATATATATATATAGAATGAGATAGAGAGAAATAGATAGATATGAACAGAATGATAGATAGACAGACATACAGGTAGATAGATAGATATAAACAGACTGAGATAGATAGATATGAGCATACTGAAATAGATAGATAGATAGATAGATAGATAGATAGATAGATAGATATAAACAGACTGAGATAATAATCATATTGATAGATTATAAGCAGACTGATATATATATATACATATAGAATGAGATTGGGAGAAATAGATAGATATGAACAGAATGATAGATAGATAGATAGATAGATAGATAGATAGATAGATAGATAGATAGATATAAACAGACTGAGATAGATAAATATGAACAGACTGAAATAGATATGAACAGACTGAAATAGATAGAGAGAGATATATAGATTGATAGATAGATAGATATGAACATACTGAAGTGATAGATAGATAGATAGATAGATAGATAGATAGATAGATAGATAGATAGATAGATAGATATGTTGGTCACGTTCAAGCTTTTCACAGCTCTAGAATCAGTCTTTCTCAGTCAGCCTATGCACGTTTCAGCCCATCGTCGTAAAGTAATTGTGACATGACGTTTAGATTTAGATAGACAATCACAACATCGAATTAGACATGTTGAAAGATCCAGGGACCGGCTGAGGCATTTTGGCAAGTAAGTTTAATAGATGTTCATAAGGCCGCGGCGCTGCGCTACGCAGAACCTAACTAGCTTCGCCATTTAAACTGATATAACAAAAGAAGGTCATGCCTCGATACGCTCGAGGGAACACGTGTGCTTTAACGAAAACTATTTACTGCAGAATTAAATACAAATCACAGATCGAATTTGATAACCCCCGCCTTTCCGAAACAGCTTCAGTTTATAAAATTAGTTTTCACTATTTTTTCAATGGTTTTGTTTTTTGTTTTTTTTCTTTTGTTTTTGAGGAAATTAGGCAACAGTGCGCATGCGTGTAATTCACGAAAATAAAATTTGAAAAAAAAATAACAGGAAAAAAAAAATCAAAAATCAGTTTTGATTACAAATTGGAAAAGGGCGATCTCGCTTCTAAAGTGAAAATGTCGTTTGTTGATTTTGTTAGGAATAGTGGTCGTTTAAATGATTTCCTAAAGGTCCCGAACATTCTGGAGGAGAAGAAATAAATAAATAAATAAATATTGTCCCAAAGGAATGATCTGCTTTCATTTGAATTCCAGATAAGATCTAGCTAGCTAGATAAATAGATAAATATGAATAGACTGAAATAGATAGATAGATAGATATGATCAGACTGAAATCGATAGATAATTGTATTGATAGATTTAAACAGACCGATATATATATATATATACATATAGAAAGAGATAGATAGATTGATATATATGAACAGAATGAGGATATATATATATATATATATATATATATATATATATATATATATATATATATATTTATATATATATATATAGATAGATAGATAGATAGATAGATAGATAGATAGATATGATCAGACTGAAATAGATAGATAATCATATTGATAGATTAAACAGACTGATATATATATATATATATATATATAGAAAGAGATAGATAGATAGATAGATGGATATGAACAGCATGAGATAGATATATATATACATATATAGAGAGATAGATAGATATAATCAGACTGAAATAAATAATCATACTGATAGATTTAAACATACTGATATATATATATATATATATATATATATATATATATATATATGTATATCATTTTGTTCATATCTATCTCTTTTTCTATATATATATATATATATATATATATATATATATATATATATCATTCTGTTCATATCTATCTCTTTCTATATATATATATATATATATATATATATATATATATAGATAGATAGATAGATAGATAGATAGATAGCTATAATCAGGCTGAAACAAATAGATAATCATATTGATAGATTTAAACAGACTTATATATATACGTATAGAAAGAGATAGATAGATAGATAGATAGATAGATAGATAGATAGATAGATAGATAGATATGAAACAGAATGAGGGATATAGATAAATATAAACAGACTGATATATATATATATATATATATATATATATATAATTATTCTTAAAGATATTCCATCGCTACACAAAAATGACTATGTTTCGAAACTGGTCATCCGTATTCAAGTTTAATTTCAATATTAAACCTTAAATGTTGAATGACAGATTCATCCTCAAGCGATGTTTGAAACCTTGAGGATGAAACTGTCATCCAACACTTAAGGTTTAATATTGAAATTAAACTTGAATACGGATGACCAATTTCGAAATATAGTCATTTCTGTGTAGCGATGGAATCATATTTTTTGAAAAATAATTATAATTTAGGCTCTTTAAAAAAAAAAAATACTAAAGAATTTCGGATCATCAATCTCACACATGTATTATATCATTATCCACACAGACACGGACACGGACACACACACACTCACTGATTCACACACACACACACACACACACACATATATATATATATATATATATATATATATATATATATATAAAGAGAGAGAGAGAGAGAGAGGGGGAGAGATAGATAGATATGAACAGACTGTGATAGTTGTTTAGATGAAGATTTAGTCGTGATCATGGTTGTTTAGATGAAGAATTCCTAAAGGTCCCGAACATTCTGGAGGGGATTAACAAGAGATAAATAAATATTCTCCCAAAGGAATGATCTGCTTTCATTTGAATACCAGATATGATCAGATTGAATTAGATAGATAATGATGTTGATAGATATAAACAGACTGATATATATATATATATATATATATATATATATATATATATATATATATGCATATAGAAAGAGATAGATATGAACAGAATGAGAGATACATACATAGATTGATAGATAATTGATAGATATAAGCATATATATATATATATATATATATAGATAGATAGATAGATAGATAGATAGATAGATATGAACAGACTGAAAAAGATAGAGAGTGATCAAACTGAAATAGATGATCATATTGATAGATATCAATAGGCTGGTATATATATATATATATATATATATATATATATATATAAAAATATATATGCATATAGAAAGAGATAGATATGAACAGAATGAGCGATACATAGATAGATTGATAGATAATTGATAGATATAAGCACATATATATATATATATATATATATATATATATATATATATATATATATAGATAGATAGATAGATAGATAGATATGAACAATTACATATATATAGAGAGATAGATATAAACATATATATATATATATATATATATATATATATATATATATATATATATAGATGGATTAAACATATATATATATATATATAGATAGATGGATAGATATGAACAGACTGAAATAGATAGAGAGCGATCAAACTGAAATAGATGATCATATTGATAGATATAAACAGTCTGATATATATATATATATATATATATATATATATAGATAGAGAGAGAGAGAGAGAGAGAGAGAGAAGAGAGAGAGAGAGAGAGAGAGAAAGTATAGATAGATATGAACAGAATGGGAGATATATAGATAGATATAAACAGACATATAGATAGATAGATAGATAGATAGATATGAACGGACTGAATTAACCCAAAAGGAATGATTTGCTTTCATATGAATTCCAGATCATAGCTTCCGTTTTGGAAAATTGTTTTTAAAGTTTTATTTCTTGGAACACGCTCTTGTGAATGGTTTTCATTAAATTTCTTTTTGGCAAAAGATGAGAGAAAAACTTTACAGAAATTAACTACAGCTTCGGAAGGATTTCTTCAAAAAATCAAAAAACACCGATTCTCGTATGTTCCCAACGTTTAATAGCGACAGTGAAAGACATACTGACGGAGCCTAACCCTCACCAAGCTGGTTTGGATCCAGAGTTTTCCTTCTCCCAGTCTGGTTGCCAACCAAGGATATATAGCCAAATATGTCCTGGCATTTACCTATAGCTGTAAGCGATCGATACATATTTACCGATATATGGATGCATAGTTTTCCCAAATGAAGACAATGAACCCGACTCGGATTTGAACCCATATCCCCCGATTCCTCCATCCAAGTCGACACCGTGCCTCATTTTATGGAATATTAAAAATTATTCCCATATTGCTACTTCAGCCATACTCTCACCGAAGTTAAGCAACGCCGAGTCTGGTCAGTACCTAGATGGGTGACCGCTTGGGAATACCAGGTGCTGTAAGCTTGGATGTGTGGGTGGTGTAATGGATAATGGCTCGGAATTGTTAATCGGAGGGCCGTGTTCCAATTCCTGTTGGGTTCATTATAACCATTTACGCGCAAATACCCTTGAGAAATGTATGAACGCACCTCGCCCCCAAATATGGTAAGACGTGTATCACTAAATAATTCTTATTTTCCAAAAGAAACTAAATCAGTATTATTCTCCCCGATCCACAAAAAAAAAAAAAATCTAAAAATGTTTTCTGGCTTTAAATAACCTGCAAAGGGTTGATAATCTATAAAAACGAATTAATTAATCAACACTATGTTCGTATTCTTCTTTCTATCCATTCGTATTAATTTTCTTTTTATATCTCTCTCAGGTCATAACATCTTCGGTACTCTCTCTTTTCTTGTCTCTCTGTGTATTTCTCTCTCTCGCTCTCTCTCTCTCTCTTGCGCCCTCTCTCTCTCACACACACACACACACTCTCTCTCTCCTATTTTAAACAACTCTGCATTCAGCATATCTCTTTCTCTCTATCAAAGTCTCTTGGGTACTTTGCTACCCCCCCAACCCCTTCCCCCTCTTTCTGGACTTCGCTGATCGTAGGGGAATCGGTGCTGGAACGTTATTTGGCCGTGAGCATGCGAAAGAGCGTATCTGTTATGAGAAAGAAGAGAAAAAGATATAAAGAGTGGCGAGAGAGAGAGAGAGAGAGAGAGAGAGAGAGAGAGAGAGAGAGAGAGTGGGGTGGAGTTACGGGGAGAGAAAGAGGGAGAAGGAAGTAGAGAGAGAGAGAAGGAAAGAGAAATGAAGGGACAATTAGAGAGATGTTTTAGCAGAAGGCGCCATGTTGATTCTTCGCAGAAGAGAACAGAGAACAATGCATTGAGGAAAGATAAGTTCCTGATCTGAAGAATTCGATTGAGAATCGCCACAGGTAAGAACCGTTTAATGAGGACTAAAGACTCAATTTAAAATTGATCACCTGGAAAGAACGTCCCGGAGGTGGGGGAAAAAAAGAAAAGAAAAGAAAAAAGATTTTATCTATGTCGAATTTCAATTTGTACACGCAAATGAATTCATTCTATTAGGTCTGTGCAAAAGTTCCCATGGATCGATATACAGATATAAACAGTATGGACATAAAAATCAACACTGCCTGGCGACAGTCAGTTTCACTATACACTGTTGACTTCTGCTTTGTTTATACCTGTAATCGTACAACACCCTAGCCGGCCGTCCAAGACTTCAAACACTCCGGCTGATCGATGAAGATCGCTTCGATCCCAGACCTGCCCTATACCACGTTGTGGTTTAACTTTGATCATAAAGAAGCTAAGATCGAATATGGCGCAGGTGTCTTCGCGATGGGCTGGTCTAAGCAGGGCGATGATGAACAGGAAAAAAATAACACTCAAATAAATTGAACAAAAGTAATTACTGTTTTTATATCAGTCCTTCGTACAATAATTGGTTTATATCATAGTTTGCATGCAATTAATTATCAGTCCAACCAGCGTCTAAATCAGAAGTGATATTATTGTTGACCTGTTAAAATCTGGTTTGCTGTTGTTGGTAAGATTCAGCACAAGGCTCAAGTCGGAGGCTTTTGTTGTCAGATAATCATATGGGTCTCTCTCCTGTCTTTAGTTTCATCACCATTTCTTCTGTCTCTCTTCTCTCTCTTTTACATTTTTATTTTATTACTTCAAAGCTCCTAAGTGTTATGGTCCGGTTCCTTGTACCACGGTGATAGTCCAAGGTAGAACCAATAAAGAAGAACTCGAAGGCGGATATGGAATAACACAGATATATTACAAACAGGAATATATACAGAGAAGTAGAAAATGTTAGTGCGAACAATCAGGTTTAGTAGTAATTGTCTGAACACAACTCTGTTTCGTACTGCCTCTGACTCGACTGACTGACTCTGACTTCAGACTGAACTCAGACTTCAAACGGAACTCTTAGACTTCAGACTGAACAGTATTTAGTCACCCCCACCACCACGAGGGCATCCTGTGGCACAAGGCTGGTTTAACGTGGGATCTCCGATGCCCTTTGAACCTGTATAAACGGGTTCAGGGTCGGTTTACCTCCCCGAAAGAGACTCCGCCCTTCGGCGTAGCCTCGTTCGGGTTCCTCCCCGCCCGAAGGCAGAGAGTTCAACCGATTAGCCGATCAGCCGGTCGCCCGACTTCGGACTGAACGGTATTTAGTCACCCCCCCCACGCGGGCATCATATGGCACAAGGCCGGTTTAACGTGGGATCTCCAAGCCCGTGGGCTCGGCCAAAAATATGCTCTTTGAACCCGTATAAACGGGTTCAGGGTCGGTTTACCTCCCCGAAAGAGACTCCGCCCTTCGGCGTAGCCTCGTTCGAGTTCCTCCCCGCCCGAAGGCAGAGAGTTCAACCGATCAGCCGGTCGCCCGACTTCAGACTGAACTCCCTGCTTCCTCTTGAGGCGCAGTATTTATTACGTATGGCATAATCCATTATGTTATTATGGGTAAGGTCCCATAACACCAAGAAAATTAAATTTTGGCATTAAATGACCCATAAGAGGTTGATATGCCGTTAAACAGACAAATCAAATGAAGTATTTGGCATAATTTCAATGTAGATATGTTTTTGTAACATAAGGAATAATAATATAAAATCTCGATTGCCACCCATTTTTTTTTTTTTTTTTTTGGATGATATTTTATTGTACATTACATTATTCGGACTACTGTCCTCATCTTTGTCGCCATATTTATTACAACGTTCCGGTCGTTGTACGCTCCGGCCTTCTTCAGGTAGTTGGAATGTCGAACTGAACCCTTTATTTCGCTCACTGTGGTATACTGTTCTAGTTCCACGTGCCATGTTTGATGGATGTCAGTTATCAGTTATCTCCTACTAATTTTCCCTCTGAAAGTTCTCCACTGCCTTAACCGGGTATTGAACTCACATTCTTTGGGTCATGTCACTGGATCTAGCTAACGCCTTTATCCACTGTGCCATGTGTCCTTGAGGACATCTGTGTATGAATTTCTGGGTATAGCGACAAAGATGAGGACAATAGTCCGAATAATGTAAATAATGTACCTCATCTCAGAAATATAGACAGATACTGAAAGGCCGAAACGTTGTGATAAATATGGCAACAAAGATGAGGACAATAGTCCGAATAATGTAAATAGTGTACATAATACCTCATCTCAGAAATATAAACAGATACTGAAAGGCCGAAACGTTGTGATAAATATGGCAACAAAGATGAGGACAATAGTCCGAATAATGTAAATAATGTACATAATACCTCATCTCAGAAATATAGACAGATACTGAAAGGCCGAAACGTTGTGATAAATATGGCAACAAAGATGAGGACAATAGTCCGAATAATGTAAATAGTGTACACAATACCTCATCTCAGGAATATAGACAGACTCTGATATTTTATTGCTATTTCAGTGTTTATTTGCATCATCCTTAGAGTGCAAAAAAGCTGCAGAATTTGATGTCAAATGACGACAATAAATTTATTTAATCAATTAAAATACGAAGAAAACGTTGTTAGTTAAAGTTGTTTGGGAATATGTAATCATGCAACACCCTCCCTGATCATGCAAGACTTCCAACACTGCGGCTGGTTGCTCAAGTGACCACTTCAATCCAGAGCTAACCTTATCCCATGTTGTCATTTAAGTGTGATCATAAGGCAGCTAAGATCGAATTGTCACAGGTATCTTCGTGCTGGGCTGGTCCAAACAGGGCAATACCGTACAGGGGAAAAAATAACACTCGAATAAATTAAACAGAAGTAATTACCGTTTTTATATCAGTCCTCCTTACAATAATTGGTTTATATCAGAGTTTGTACGCAAATAATTATCAGCCGAGACCAAATCTATCATCCGATTCACTCACCTCTTCTGCCTTTTGAACAGGAGTAGAGGTTTATCCCTTGTTTCCTATTTAGGATTTGGTTTCCGGTTCCTTCTAAAGTCTACTTCAACTCTATACTTCTAACATCTCCGCCTAAATCTCTGGTTTTGTTTTTATTTACTATTGAATTACTTTTTCTTTTCTCAATAGGAGTCGATAGGTTCGTCTGTCGTCAGGTTGATACACCTCTCCGGTTTTTCTAAAGGAGTAGAGGTTTATCCCTTGTTTCTTATTTAGGATTAGGTTTCCGGTTCCTTCTAAAGTCTACTTCAACTCTATACTTCTAACGTCTCCGCCTCAACTTTTTATTAACTATTTATTTATTTAAATAGGGGTGGATAGGTTCGCCTATCGTCAGGTTCACACACTTCTCCTTCGGTCTTAGTGGCATTGTGGCCTTGCTTGGTGTGATTTGATTTTAGAAAAATCATTACGATGAGCGACTAACACAGTATTTCTCAACCTTTACTTCTTTTTTCTTTTTTTTTTTTACTTCAGGGCGCACTTGTTTTATAACTAAATCTCTGGGGTGCACTTTAAACATTATAAGGAAAAATTATCATGAAATATGAAATTTTGGTTTAGCATTCCCTAAAGAAGATTAGCGATAGAGTTTTTATTTAAAGGGATTTAGGAAGAATCTGCTATTTTTTTTAGACAGGCCAATAATGACTGATTTAAATCACCTAAGGAATTCAAAGAGGAAAGGATTATCCACTCCTTCTTAAAGATTAAGGAATTTAGTGTCCAATTTAAAATATCAAATAACTAAGACTTGACTTAACCTTTAGCACTCTGCATCATTAATATTACATCCCCTTCTACTGCATTCATTTCAATTGCAGCATCCTTATTGTTAATCATTCACTCGAAATTGTTTTCTGTTTCCATAGCAGGATATGACAACACAACTACACTCTTTTGCAAATTAATTGAAACAAAACGAATAATTCCATTATTTTTTACTTTTTTTCGTAATTTTCCATTGAAACATGACCCAGTGCCCATGTTAGTACTTCGTATGTCAATTCCACGAAGTCGTTCCTTGCAGATTGACCACAGATTCTCGACTGGAATCAAATCAGGGGTGTATCCGGGCCAGTCTATAATACTTTGATTTGCTCACTGGTAACGCTTGCAGCGTTACAATTTTTGTATGCTTCCTTGGAGACAAGTGCCGTAGGACAAATAATCGACAGTCGAGACAATAGTATCTGGGCGTGATGAAATTTGATGCAATCGCATATTTTTCAAGGTCAAACAAATTTCATCATACACCCCGAACATAGATTCATATTACTGCACACCACTGCAAATTACCCAATCTGAGGAAAAAAATAGAAATGGATTAAACTCTGTTACTCCAGTGGGTCTAAAATTGGCCGTATGGTGAAAGAAAGGGAACTAAAGCGGCTGTTTCAATTAATTTGAACAAGGGTGTATGGTCAACAAGGATCAGAGTTGCCTTCAATGGCAGGATGAACTTTTTGTACAGTGAATGAAGTAATATACAGAGTGAAAATGGTTGCTTTGTTTCTGTACCTTTTTTAGAAATAAATATTTTTTTAAATATAAAAATAGTTCATAATTTACTCTTCTGTTAAGTTGGGACGCACCTGGCTACCTTTCACGGCGAATTAGTACGCCCGGACGCACCGGCTGGGAAACACTGGATTAATGTATTGAGTACGTGGTTTTGTAAAAGATTCCTTTTGTGTCCATATATTCTTTTATTCTTCCCGATCAAACACGGCAAATTTGCGTCCATATCCTTTTAGCATTTCACAGTTTTTGACAGATCTTTTGTTCACACAATGTGGGATACCTAATAATAATAGCGATAAAAAAGAAATGCAGTAGGAAACTAAATGAAATCGGCTAGGCTGTATGTGCAGACACGTTTAAAGGAGAAAACCTATCAACAATTATCAACAGTACACCGATCAATATGAATGAACTAATACCTAATAATAACATTATCAACAATACATCAACCAGTAAGAAAGAACTAATAACTAATAATAAAATTATCAACGATACATAGACTAACATGAATGAACTAATACCTAATATAGAATTATCAACGATACATCAATCAATATTAAGGGACTAATAACTAATAATAAAATTATCAACAATACATCAGTCAATATGAATAAACTAATACCTACTAATAAAATTATCAACGACGCATCAATCAATATTAAGGTACTAATAACTAATAATAAAATTATCAACACTACATTAACAAGTATGAAAGAACTAATATCTAATAATAAAATTATCAACAATACATCAATCAACATTAAAGGACTATTACCTAATATTAAAATTATCAACAATACATCAATCAATATTAAAGAATTCATACTTAAAAATAAAATCATCAACAATATACCGATCAATATGAATAAACTAATACCTAATAAAAAAATTATCAACGATACATCAATCAATATTAAGGGACTAATAACTAATAATAAAATTATCAACAATACATCAATCAATATTAAGGGACTAATAACTAATAATAAAATTATCAACTATACATCATCAACTATGAAAGAACTAATATCTAATAATAAAATTATCAACGATACATCAATCAATATTAAAGAATTCATACCTAAAAACAAAATTATCAACAATATACCGATCAATATGAATAAACTAATACTTAATAATAAAATTATCAACGATACATCAATCAATATTAAGGGACTAATACCTTATCATAAAATTATCAACAATGCATCAAGCAGTATGAAAAAAACTAATACCTAATAATAAAAGTGATAAAAACAAAAAAGAAATGCGTTGGGCAACTGAATAAGCTCGGCTATGCTTTATGTCCAGACACATTGAAAGAAGAAAAACTATTTAAAATTAAATTTAAAAAATTAAAATTTCAGCGTTCCAGCATCAAGAACGTTTTTTGTCGGTGCATACTTGTAGCCGAAGGTTGCGTTTTTATATCTATCCTCCACGTACATATATATATATATATATATATAATTCCATCAACAAAAAGAGTCCGATGAAGTCCTTCTAGAGAAAGAGAAACATCAGTCCTGGGTATGACGATAAACTACATCCGGCAGCAAGGCTTCTGTTTGGGAGATTGGAGGTTTTGAGGAGCTTGGAACCACCTGTTAATTGCTATTGTTCCCAGGTCCACCATTACCCAGGGTAGTAGCACCTGTTAGGGTCCCAGCTATGGGCAAAAAATGCCCCCCCAACAAGTACAAAACACTATGAAAGTATAAAAATACATTTTCATAGTAAAATTACTAGCAATACATTTTATATGTAAAAAAAAAATTTACTAAGAATACCTATCTATCGTAAAATTAACAATAATACAATTTTTAAGCAAAATGATTAACAATACATTTTATAGCAAAATGACCCACAACATTTTATCTGTGGTTGAAGGCATACAATTGCGTATAAAATATATTTAGCTGAAGCCATAAAATCGTGTCCAAAATAGATTCCGGCATTAGATAACCCATAGAGGTGTTGATATGCCGCTAAACAAAATCAACCAAGTAACATGAAAGAACACTTTCGTGACATTAATCCATATAATATCCTACAATTTCTTAAATAAATCAAACTGTATTCCAAAATATAACTTAAACAAAGGTACCACATAAGACACATCACTGCCTCTAGTAATCATGACCACAGAAACATCTATATGCACAAAAGCTGTGTATCATCTACCATGTATTCAATTGTGAAAGAAGAATAACATATATCATATTTTTATTACCTCAAAGCTCTCAAGAAAATTAAATCTCGGCATTAAATGACCCATGAAGAGTTGATATGCCATTAAACAAATCAAAGAAAAGCTTACACAGGCGTTTTTTTCCATTTTCATTCATTTTCCTAAAATTGGTCTGATATATACAAATATATATATATATATATATATATATATATATATATAGCTGACAATTTGATTTTTGTAAGAATTTCCAAAATAATGTGTTTTCATCACAAAAATGACGCTAAAATTTCCTATACTAATCTTTGCTGCCGACGCAAGAAAATAATTTTAACCAAAATTTCGAACGTGCTAGAAAGGATTAAAAAATTTAATAAAATCATAAAAAATACTTTGGTCTTTCCTCTTAATAATAACATAAACATTTTGACAATAAAAATTTGTTTTATCAAGTTTTTAGGCCTTTTTTTCAATATGGTATGCTCTTATTTTAGAAAAATTTTGAAGGTACTTATGTATATAGTCTAACCAAATACATTTTTTTTTTATTTACATTTTTATTACTTTTGTTATTAAGTGTCGCACATTGTGATAATAGACGATCTGCCAAGAAGGGTGAAATATCGCAAGAACCCGCACGCAAATCAAACATTTATTATACTCAGAAACAGAAAGACACAGCTAAAGATTCTTGGGCATGTAATGAGGAAGGAGGGCTTGGAGAGTCTGACACTCACAAGACATATCAAATGCAAAAGACGGGAGAAAGCAAAGGGCTACCTACTTGTGCGAATGGATTGCGCAACTGGTGGCGGTGGGGAGGGAAACGTTGCTGAGAGTAATAAGTGCTAGGAAATTGTGGAGAGCTATGATCGTGTTATAGTGGAACACACCTATTCTATAGTTAATAGACTCTCCCACCTAAAATAAGTAGGAGTAGTAAGAGTAATGAGTAAGTCGCTCAGGGGGTCGGTCAGTCAGTCGATGTCGGACGACCATTAGTCGGATATTAAAGTATCAGCGACCACAACTAGAGTACTGCGTCATACCTATTATATGAAGTTCCTGACGTTTTGTACGTCGAACCTGTTTTAGGACCGACTTAGTACAACTACAAGCCTCCATTGTGAAATCACTCCATAACAGATCGTCACCTTTTGTATATTTTTTGTTTTTCTTAAAAATTCTTTTCTTTTCTCTTCAAAGGATTCTACTCGTTCATTCTTCCGTTTTTTTTTTTTTTTTTTTTTAATTCTATAAGGTATTTTTTCTTGTGCTTTCTCTCTCTTGGTATAATTCATTCATTTATTCATTTATTTATTCTTTCTTTCTTTCTTTCTTTCATTTTTTGTTTCTTTCATTTTTTCTTTCCTCCTTTCTTTTTCTATAAGGCATTTATTTCGTCCTATAAAGCATTGTTTTTGTTCATTTCCTTCTTTTTCTTTTGCCATAAAGAATTTTTCTTGTGCTTCCTTTCGCTTGGTGTCAAACATTCATTTATTCATTCATTCTTTCTTGCATTTCGCTTTCTTTCTTTCTTTCTTTCTTTTTAACGCGAAGAAAGTTGGTTCTCCGTGTCGCGTCAGAAGTTTTTTTATCGCCTTCGTCCATCCTTCACATCTACAAATCAACCATTCGTCCTTGCATTGAATACTGTTGCCATATATGGTCTGGTGCTCCCGCTGTTCATCTCGAGGTCCTCGACAAAATCCAGAGACGTATATGCAATGTGATAAGTCCTGATCTGGCATCCCGTCTACAGTCACTTTCTCACAGACATGCAGTGGCCTCCCTCTGTCTTTTCTACTATTACTTTCATAGCAACTGCCCCGACGATCTACTTTCACTGGTTTCCAAACTGCATGAATTTAAGAGTGCTACTAGGCTGACATCACGGTCCCACCCTTTCATGGTCGAAACACGCTAAATTTAGCGATTTCTTCTGCTCCAACAGTTTCTTATCTCGCACCTCTCATCAGTGGAACCTATTGCTTGCTTCCCTGAGAGCTATACTCTACAAATATTCAAATGTAATGTCAATCGACATCTTCTGATACCTTAAGCTTGATCCCTGTCTTTCTCTTCATCCTTTTCCCAAATACTCCTCTTTACTCTTAATCTCACTTTCTGTAGCCCCTTGCGTGCTAGTGGCACTCCCGTCTCGCTTGGGACGATTTGCTTAAAAAAAAATGTTGTAACCGAGAAAAAGTTACTAAATGAAGAATAACCAAAATGGAGGTTGGAAATGAAATGGTAATCTTTATAACATCAACAAAATACAATACTCGCCAGCGGCGTGAACTAGGTAAACCACTGCTACTGATGGACTACTTAGTCAGCATATTATTCCCATTTACAATAGTGTCAAATGTATTTATGAAGATTGGTACATACCCGTTAGAGTTCGCAGGTACGGTATATAATACAATCTATCTATCTATCTATCTATCTATCTATCTATCTATCTATCTATCTATCCCTAGCTTTTCATATCTATCTATCTATCTATCTATCTATCTATCTATCTATCTATCTATCTATCTATCTATCTATCTGTTGTAACCTAGAAAAAGTTATTGAATGAGGAATAACCAAAACGGAGGTTGAATATGAAATGGTAATCTTTATAACAACCAACAAAATACAATACTCGCCAGCGGCGTGAAATAGGTAAACCACTGCTCGTGGTGGACTACGTAGACATCAGATTATCTACCCAACTTACAATAGTGTCCAATGTATTTATGTGGATTGCTACATATCCTTTAGTGTTCATAGGTACGGTATATAACAATAAGGTATTTATTTCGTCCTATAAAGCAGTATTTTTTTTTTTTGTCTTTTCTCCCCTTTTCTTTTCCCATAAAGAAATACTGCTTGTGCTTTTTTTCTCTTGGTATCATTCTCGCATATATTCTTTCTTTCTTTCGTTGTTTCTTTCTTTCGTTGTTTCTTTCTTTCGTTGTTTCTTCCTTGTTTTCTTTTTCTATAATGCATTTATTTCGTCCTATAAAGCATTGTTTTCCTTCATTTCTTTCTTTTTTTCCCTATAAAGTATTCTTCTTGTAGTTTCTTTCCCTTGGTGTCATTCATTCATTCATCCTTGCATTTCTATTTCTTTCTTTTTCTTTTTATATAAGACATTTCTTTCTTTATTTCAAATTCTCTTTTTTCATTTCTTTCTTTATTTTTATGATCTTTCTTTCTTTCTTTCTTTCTTTCTTTCTTTTTATGTTCTTTCTTTCTTTCTTTTTTATGCTCTTTTTTTATTCTTTTTATTTTCTTTCTTCCTTTTTTCTTAATTTTATGTTCTTTCTTTCTTTTCAGGTTCTTTCTTTCTTTCTTTCCTTTTATGCTCTTTCTTTCTTTCTTTCATTCTTTTTATGTTCTTTCTTTTTTCTCCTTTTTTTCCTTTTATTTTCTTTCTTTTTTATGTTCTTTCTTTCTTTCTATCTTTTTTTCTTTCTTTTTATGTTCTTTCTTTCTTTCTTTCTTTCTTTTATGTTCGTTCTTTTTTTCTCTTTTCTTTCCTTTTATGGTCTTTCTTTCTTTCTTTTTTCTTTCCTTTTATGTTCTTTCTTTCTTTCTTTCTTTCTTTCTTTCTTTCTTTCTTTCTTTCTTCTCCATACGTTTCCTTCTTCTATATATTTGCTTTGGTCTGTTTCACCCACTCCCTTATTGTTCTTCTTCCTCTACATTTGTTTGCCTCTCTCATATCACATTACCAATATCACCGGCCGAAACACGTTGTTGTAAAACAACACCGACGCTCTCCCAACACACACACACACACACACACACACACACACACACACACACACACACACACACACACACACACACACAAAATATCTCTCCATTACTTCGCAGTTTTAATGATAGTGATTGACCGATATTTATAATAACATGAGATAAAACACAAAATAAGGTCAACAGTTCGATTCCCTAGTGCCGGGTCGATAATTCTCCTTATCCGTATTGCCACATAGATCAGAACATTTGAATAATCAAAAATGTAAAATCTACAATTATCTACAGCGAAAACGTGTTCAAACAATTTGTTACGGTATGCCTACCGTAGAGTTACGATAGTTTAGGATGTACAGAAGAAGAACTCCACAAAGCAAGAAAAGCTATTACAAAAATATTCCCAGACTCCAAGAAAATGGCAAGTGGCTCGTGCGACAGGAATTTCAAAATCAAGACTCATCGCTGACATTGGTAAAATTACATTCCCAAAAATGCTCTATATTTCTTTATCATTTATTCAGTTTGCGAATTCAGCTTCCATCTCATAATTGTGCTTCATGGTGACATTTATGACAGAATAGTGAAATAGCTATGACGGTTCCGTTTAGGGCACAGGTTCAATTCCTGCCAGTGAATACATATTTTTTGTGAAATTTCTCGGGCATTTAGGCCGGTAAATGTTCTTAATATTCTTAATTATAAGCAGAGCATTTACTTAAATGTTTGTATCTATAAAAATAAAGTATAAACAATATATATATATATATATATATATATATATATATATATATATAAATTTATCATATAGACAAAACCATTTTACTCACTACAAAGATGCAATTTCGTTTCAGTGCATTTCAACTGCACTTCGACGGGTGAGAATCGAAAATGGTTATGAACAATTCATTATATTAATTTCATCACGTTTAATATTAGTACTTTGTTTCATTAAAATTATATGCAATGAATTCAAATTATATATTTGTAAAATATATTTATTTCATTAATATTTTTCTTGCAATAACTTCCGGTTGCATTGGTAGAAATACAATCAGAATTTTTATATCCTTAATTATTCCACTAAGACGTTTACAAGACGCAGATTGTACAGATCATATAAAGGAACATTTTTAATGAATTTTAATGGTAACTGTACTCTTTTGCTGAATTGTAATAATTGCTTGATTTTTATTTTGTTTTCATACCTTTGGATATAATAAAGTTTTTTTTTTTATAGGATCGTGTTCTTTTTTTCTCTATTATTTTTCGTTTAATTGTAATCATGGCTTATTTAACCAAAACAATACCCCATAAATATAGCCTAGGCTGTACCATTTACTAATATTTTACTAATGACTAATTTTTTCTTGATTTGCCCTGCTGAAATTAGAGTGCGTCTTATACACCTGTGCGTCTTACATGCCATCAAATATGGTACATTCAGACAAGAACGACGCATCACACGAGCAACCCACAACAAATCCATCACTGTCGTCTGCTTTTTACGTTTATGCTTCATAATATTTATATGAAACGAAATTCAACGTTATCTTTCGTAAAGACCACATCTGTCAATCAAATTTAAATATTCACAAACAACATCTGGATTTTGGTGTAGGGGTATTTATAAGTCCACAGTAGTAATTATAATCTACGGATATATATCAATAAAAATCGTGGATTTTTTTTTTTTTTAGCGGAGGAGGAAACAATACTAGAGTTAATTTGCAAAGTAAGTTAGCATTTTATATCTCACCCCCTCACATTTTATCTTTGAAATATGGCTGACTAAAATGAAAAATAAAAAACATGGCTAACTAAAATGGCTTCTCCATGTGATTGACATTTGATCATATGACAGTGTCGTTTAGTCAAAGTCGTCGACGTACACAACAGGAAGTTATAACGCCTTTATTAAAAGTCCACTCCATAATGACATCAAAGCGAGAGCCACTCGTTCCCGCCGCCAACAGCCATTCATTATATGTTAACCCACAAATAAATCGCTTTTTTTTATCAATAGAAACATGTCCTTGTATACGATTTCCATTTTCCCAGTTCATTCTGCCTTTTGCTTTTTCAAGCATGTGCGCAGTCTTCGTTGCAAATTAATGACACTGACAGACGAACGAGAGTAGATTATCTATAGAGATGCTTGCTATTTATTATATACTAATGTTTCCTAAGAGCCACTCAAAGCAGAGTGTTACTATGTGGTGGTGGTCTTCTTCTTCTTCTTCTTCTTCTTCTTCTTCTTCTTCTTCGTGTCGTATCCCTTCGGACGTAGGCGATCATGGCTCTCCACAAATTCCTGTCATTTGCAGCCCTTAGTAAAGTTTGTGTTCTTGATATATCTCCAATTTCCTGTTCTGCCAACCAGGGCTTGCGCAAGGGTCTCGTGCACCCCGTCAAATCTATGATACGGGGCCCCTCCCATTCTATACTATAACTCTGTTTTCATAAGGTAGCATTCATACTGTTATATACCGTATCTATGAACACTAATGGGTATGCCCCAGTCCTCAAAAATACGTTGGACACTATTGTTGGACACTATTGCTGGACACTAGTGAGGGTAATTTGCTGCCTACGCTGTTAGCATGGGAAGCTCTTACTGTGTCGAAATTTCTGCCTTTGGGCAGAAAAGAACCCGTACGACGTTATGCCGAAGGGCAGAGTCTCGTCCAGGGAGGTAGACAGATACTCGATCCTGCGTATGCGGGGTCTACGGGCAATTTTTGCACGAGCCCACAGTGAGGAGGCAGGTAAATATCGTGCTGTCAAATGGTCCACCACTAGTAGTGGTTTACCTAATTCACGCCGCTAGCGAGTATTGTATTTTGTTGATGTTATAATGATTACCATATCATTTCCAACCCCCATTTTGGTTATTCCCCATTCAGTAACCCAGAAAAGGGGAACGCCTCTCCCTTACTCACCTGTGTCAAGCGGTCATCGGCCAGTTGACTACATGGACGTAGGATCTAAGCGGTCAACAGCTTTACCAATGGGCGGAGGAAATTCTGGGAGATGCAACGAGGTAACCTCAAATCCCAGGCATAGAAGGAACCATGCTATACCATTTAGCTACAGAGGAAGCGTCTGGTTAGCAAGGCTCGAATTACTGCTTTTAAACTACAAATTTCCCATCATTTCTCTCGAACGCTCAGATCTACTCGAAGCAAACAAATGACGCCATATATTACGAAATGGGTTAAGTCCAACAATTATTATAATATATTTTCTGTTTATACGTGATTTTTATAGATACAAATATATAAGTAAATGCTCTGTTTATAATAAACAGTATTAACCAGACTCTTCCTCTGTAGCTAAATGATATAGCACGTCAGGCTAGATGACGGTTCCGGGTAGGATACAAGTTCGATTTCTGTCGGAGGACGCATATTTTCTATGAAATTTCTCGGACATTCAGGCCAGTAAATGTAGTTAATACTATTTATTATAAACAGACCATTTACATAAATATTTTGTGGAAAATTAACTGATTTAAAGTTTGATATATATATATATATATATATATATATATATATATATATATTGCTCCTAAACGCACAATTTAGGCAGCAATCCTTCATTTATACATGTTTCATTAAAGACGACAGACAAGGTACTGCGATTAAGCTTTTTATTTAATTCTTGTGTTGGAACAAGTGTTTTCTTTTCTGGACACAGAGTGTGTAGAAACTGTCCAAATGTTCTATAATCCCGAGCGCTTTCGGCTAATACTTTTAACCTTTATCAAGGATGATTTTAGTTTTGCTTTTTAATTGGGTGTATGGGTTGTGTATATATATTTAAAGGGATGTTTTATTTTCCAAACACAGCCGTGTTCGTAGTTAACATGATTAAGCGTTGGCTTTTTCTTTTTTATTATTAAGTCTTCCGTTATTTGTAATCATTTTTTTTTATATATGGCTGAAGTTATTATGTTTGTATTTTCTACTAGTATGATTCGGATGGTGTGTGATAAGTTTGTTTGTGTGCTTAAATGGGTTCGCATATATATATATATATATATATATATATATATATATATATATATATATATATATGTATATATTCGAACCTATATATGTACGTGTGTGTGTGCATGTGTGTATATAGATTAATTGACTGATTTGTTTTTTTACTGGTTATCAACCATTTACATGTTATTTAAAGCCAGAAAATATTTTTAGAGTGTAAGAATCATTTTTGTGGGGACATATACTAATGATTTACTGGGAAAAAGACCTACTAATTAACCCTTAGATGGAGGGAGAGAAAGGGTATTTACTGATAAATGATTATAACGAACCCGACTGGAATTGGAACTCTGCCCTCCGAGTAACAATTCCGAGACGCTATCTATAACAGCACTCGCACATCCAAGTTTACACCACCTGACACAGCCATAATGTAAAATGCGGAAGAGGGAGGAGGGAGAGGCTGATTAAAATAGATAGACAGATAGAGAGAGAGAGGAGGGGGAGAGAGAATTTATACTCTATAAGACAAATAGATAGCTTATGAGTAATTAGAATAGATAGATAGATAGATATGAAGATAGATAGATAGATAGATAGATAGATAGATAGATAGATAGATAGATAGATAGATATGAAGAGAGTGAGATAGATAGATAGATAGATAAAGATAGATAGACAGATAGATAGATAGATAGACAAGAGAGTGAGATAGATAGATAGATAGATAGATAGATAGATAGATATGAAACAGACTCTAGATAGATAGATAGATAGATAGATAGATAGATAGATAGATAGATAGATAGATAGATATAAGAGAGGAGATAGATAGATAGATAGATAGATAGATAGATAGATAGATAGATAGATATGAAGAGAGTGAGATGATAGATAGATAGATAGATAGATAGATAGATAGATAGATAGATAGATAGATATGAAGAGATAGATAGATAGATAGATAGATAGATAGATAGATATGAACAGACTGGGATGAAAAGATAGATAGATAGA